TGGGGAAAGTTACTTTTAAAAGTAATGCATTACAATATTGCGTTACTCCATAAAAAAAGTAACTAATTACGTTACATAGTTACTTTTTTATGGGAAGTAATGTGTTACGTTACTTTTGCGTTACTTTAAAAATCTGGACAGGGCTTGCTTGTTTGTTTTTAAAATAAAAAAGTTATATTTTTGGCAAATATAAAAGCCTTTTCACACCAAAAGTGAAATGAATAAGCCTCAGGCTGAAGGGAAAGTAAATTTCCGTCCGTACAGTAGATTTATACATTTTTAAAATGTTTAATTTGTTTTTTTATTAGTGTAGTGGTATAATTTTATAATCACATGTAATTACATTGCTTAAATCACTTGACTTGGCTAGTGTAATACAGGCTTCGAACCACTGATCAAAACAAAAGATTCAAAAGTGTTGTGAAGCTTCATGAAGCTGTGTTTCGAAAGCACCTCTCACTTATGTACTTATGGCTTTATTAAGATGTGTTATGTTATGGTCAAATTAGCAAAAGTTTTTGGTCAGCAAAATGGACAGTTGTCTGTTGTCAAAAGAAGCACAGCTTGCACAGAAGTCACTTTCAAACCAGCAGTTTTCTGTGGGTCAACGCTGCAAATTTGCATGAACAAATTAACCTGATGTGACGCACCTGATGCACCTTTAGAGAGTTTTAAAAGCTATCTTTAATCTTTATTGTGAAGGTTTACTGAAACAAACTGTCTAAAAGACAGACTTTTAGTCAGTAGTAGTACATGCTTGTGACAGAGTTCAATGTTCACTTTCAGATGTTATGTAATAGCATGTTTACAGGGAAACCCGTGGTATTTTAAGGTACATGTAACAGTAATCATGTAAATCAGGTTTTAAGCTGCTATTTTCAGCAGATTATTATAGTGACTCTATACACAAATACACTAGTGTTTTATTGTTAAACAGTTACAATTTTGGGAACATGGTTTTAAGATTCAAGGGCCTCATTAATTTATTCACAGTTAGGATTTAAACACAAAAGACGACATTTTGGGTGAACTATCCCTTTAAAAAAACACTACATCAAACATTGAAACAGCATGTTGTTCATGTGAGAATGTTGTCATATAACAGACGTTTTCATGTTGTTTTATTTATTTCACAGTCATTGGGTCCTGGGGATGAACCAGCCTCTTCATCCGTGTCAGCTGACACTGAAAATGTCAATTTAAGCCAAAATATTGAGATTAGCAGCAAGGACACTTCACAGAAGTCCGGTCAGGTGCAGCAACTGTGTCGCTTCTACTCTCAGGGCAAACGATGCTATTATGGGAAAAGGTGCTGCTTTCTTCATCAAAGAGCTGCGAGTGCACAGAAAGACGAAGAGAACGGTACAACTCTCAAAGAGAAAGAAGGAAATTTGGATGGTCACCCATCAGACCCACAGCAGCAGACGAGTGAAAACGGACAGTCTGGTACAGAGGAGCTTCCACCTCCATCCAGCCACAGAGCTGCTCCTGTGAAGCAAGAGAGAGCCAGACGACCCTGCCGCTACTTCCTGTCTGGGTTTTGTGCAATGGAGGACCGGTGTCGCTTCTTTCATCCACAGCAATTTCCGCCCGTGGAGGAACAGCCTCACGGCCCGAAAGAGAGGAGCAGCTTCAAGCCTTCTGCTCCGACCACACGACCAGCTAAAAGTCAAGAGCAGATCAAACTGCCTGATCTCACTGATGAGGTCTGCAAGCAGCTGAGAGCCACCGAGATCGCTCAGCTCACAAAGAGATTTCCGAAAGACAAACTCATCGTGCAGGAGCGAGAAGATGGACAGCTGACCTACTACAGAGTCACAGTTCAAGCTACAGACCCTGACTGGGTAAATACTTATTGTATGGACCAGGGGTGTCCAAAACTGTTCCTGGAGTGCCACTGTCTTGCAGAATTTCTCTCAAACCTCAAAATTTCTCTCAACTCTCAAACGGAGTAAATAGATGATGAATAGCAGTGGGCCCAAAACAGAACCCTGAGGGACACCAGTGGTAACTGTAGATGGTCTTGATCGAAATTTTTTTAATTTGAACAAGAGCAGTCTCTGTACTATGGGGGGGATGAAAGCCAGATTAAAATTGCTGAAACAATTTATTATTGGAGAGATGATCGTGAACTTGAGTTGCAACACATTTTTCCAAGATTTTAGAAATAAATCGCAAATTAGAAGTTGGACTGTAATTTTCTATATTTGATGAATCAGCACCTGATTTTTCAGGTTATATGGGTAAT